GTGTGCGCGTCTGGCTTGTCGAGCTCAATTACAGGGAGAAAAAGTGTGGTGTCAACTAGTGTGCTGACGAGACCACTAAGTACCGCAAATGCATTTTTGCAGGCGCATAGGGCGAAAAAAAAGTTTTCCACGCGAAATTCGATGGGATATTGCCCGGGCACGTGGGTTACTCCCATGCCCTGGTCTGAGAGATGAACGCATGAAAACGTTTGTGACATCTGCAATTCAACTTACCGGAGGTGCACGGTATCGACACAAATTAGCTCGAGAACTTTTTCCTCATCTTTTTTCGGATAGCTCAGAGTACGACCTCGCTGACGAAGTAAACTATGGCGTTGGGGTGAATCATTCCGTTAATCGAAGCACTTTCAAAAAGCGACAACCTAAGCTTCAGCAGCTTCTCGAGGCCGAAAAATTATTGCTGCACGATTTAATCGAAGGTGAAGCACTATGGTTTGTGGACAAAGATGGCAATTCGGTGCGCAGTCTGGATTGTCTTGGAATTGTTGATTCGCGTAAGGGTGATGTCCGATGTGCATCTTGCACTATGCTGCGCAGCAATGCGGCTTTGAGAACAGCAGCCGCAACGAAATACAAGATGGCAATGCGATCTGGGCCGCCTCGCAACCCGATAAATAGAAAGTTCTGTTCTGGGCGCGTATGCTCGCTGCTTGAGGCCGAGTTCGATATGCGAGAGCCTTTTGCTCGAGTACTTCGTGATTTGGCTCTCGCTGATATCCCGAGTGCATTGAACACATGGATGGAAATGGCTACGATGGGACTCACGGGCGCCTTTAATACTCACCCAGCATTGCTTGGTCTAACTGAGGCAATGGTGCGGCTGAAGGATAAGGAACAACGTGGTGTGGGGTTGCAGAACATGACGTACAGCAATCTTCTCGATAAGTTCATGCAGTCACTTGCCGACTTATCGCCTGATGCTTGTGAGCTTTTCCAGAAACACTTGGGAGGGCGAAAACAACGACAATTCCAAGCAACGGTAGTAAGATCTGTCTTGCCTAACAAACGGAAGGTGCAACTTCAAACAAGCAGTGTTGTGTCCCGAACAGGCCAAGACCAGCAGACTGACGAATCCCTCTACGATGGCGTTGGGAACCCATCTCCTGCCGTGCGTGTGACGAGCGACGATGGTTTTGTGCACTTGTTGGACCCTTCTGTTGTTGGCCTTGAAATGCCTCCTTTGTCTATATGCGATATTGACGACGTAGACCTCAGTACATTTCCTGCGTCTTCGGCGATACAAATGCATGGAAACCAAGTTAATAACCCTGGTCATGGTGATGAAATGGTCCCAACCATGCCACCAGCAGTTGCGGCGTCGGCACTTACATCCGATTCCGACCAGTTGCCGGCAATTGAACAAACTTGCAAGGAGCCCACCTGCCAAGGCAATATTTGTGTGAACTCAACGAACGGAGACACGAATCTAGAAGTTCTCACGAACGCGGCAAAGCAGGATCATGATGGCGTTATTGATGAGTCAACAGAGACTAATGCTGACGGGCGAGTGGAGAGTGACCCTGACGCCGTGGTATTCCTCACGGCGCTCACAGCGCCTGAGGATAGCTGCAAGACTGACGATGCCGTAATGCCAAGTGACTATGTGCCGTGTACAGGACTTCGTGATGAAAATGTGCAGGCATATGTTGCCAGTGCCGTTCAAATTGTCGGAGGTAGCCGACCTCGCTATGTAATTGCACGTGAGCTGTTTCCACAGGTCTTTGGCAATGACAAAAAAGTTCGTATTGTCGACAAGCTGAGTGATGAAGAGCGGCTAGTTTTGCAGGATGCTGTATTCAGCGAGTGCCTTTGGCGAGTGGACAAGGAAGGCCGTTGTGTTCGAAGTCTGCGCTGTAAGCGATTTGTACCAGCTCCTGGAATTCACGATCGTGGCAGGTCTCAGAGCCAAGGCGTTTGCCGAGCCTGCCGCGATCTGCGTACCGTGCCAAATTTCCGCAGTGTGCTTAGTCGTTCCAAGATGCCAAAGAATCTCGAAAACATTAAGTATGTGCCTAGTGTGTACACTGAAAGCGATCCATTCCTGCGCAAGTTGTCGAAGAACTCGGCATTCCGTAAACTCTACCAGTGTGTCAAATACATGACCACTCAAGCGGCCGGCAAAAATAGCGAAGCTGGTGCCGAGCAACTCAAACGAGTGTACTTTTGGTTGCGCTTTGCTCGCATGGGTGTCTTTGGACACTTCAAGTCACATCCTGTCTTTGAAGGACTGATGAAGAGCATGGTGGAGGTCAAAGATAAGGAGCGCCGTGGTGTAGGTAAACAGAACATGCAATACTCACCGGCATTGGATGAATTCATGCAAAATATGGTACAGATATCCACCGAAGCATTTGAGCTCTTTGCTGCCAAGTTTTGCGGACGCACCCTGCGCTCACAAAAGGTCAAACGGCGATCAACGAGTACAACTTCTATGATGCTCACGACGCCAGCGAAGACGGCAGAACCAACTTTACTTGAAGGTAGCAGCAATGACATGGTTTTCCCAGCCCATCAATCGCTAACCCAGCTTCAACCTCCTCAGCACCAGCATTACCTCATGGCACCTGACGACCTACTTAGTGGACGAAGCTTGACGTCTGAGGAAAGCCAGCGCTTTATGGATCGCATGCTGGACGAGGTCCGTCTCTCAGTGAGCCGTGAAATGCAGTTCATAGAAGAGGAGGAGCGTCGTCGCGGTGTTGGAAATGCCAACGATATCTCGGTCACTTCTGCTGAGCATGAGCAGCACACTGACGAAGACGACGACGATCGCATCGGCCCGGAGACGTACCTGAATGACGACGGAGTGCTCACTACAGAGATTTAACTCATGAGGTACACTTGAACTAATAGATAGCAAATATATTATGCAGGAAAGCACAGGCACATTGTACAGTAGCTCCTGTGAGCTCAATGCAAAACTCATCGGTCTCTCATTACTTCGCTTTCACGAGTCTTTGGCTGGGGCATCTCACGTGCGGTTTGCTTGTCCAGACTTTTTCTCAAGATGCTTGGATATTAGTCCCATCACTTGCGTAAGGCCAATCTGGTCCACTCGAAAGACGTCTCTCATCTCCTGGTTCGGGTGGATCACCCGCCCATCCTTGGGATCCTGCAGCTCATGCTGCTTCACGTAGGCCCAACTAACACACAACAGAACGATAAGTTTACAACGATTCATCAAATGAGACGTGACAACATACAATTCTTTAACGGCGGCCGGACGAGTGAGCTCGCTCTTGCCGAGCAGGTGGCTCAAAGAAGGCGACAGCTTGTACAAGTTCTTGGATGCCATCGTTGCTCAAATTTGTGCGCTTTTCAAAAGTGCTTACAGCTTCGTCGCAGTTGGGAAGAGGCGAGGATGACAACCTAGCTATAGTAATGACAGCACGTGGACATCGCTGTCCGAAAGTTGATAATCGACTTTACCTGCCCGATTGGAGCGCACAAAGCCACTGGAGATGACAACGGTCGTGCCGAAAAACTGATTCTTAAAGCCGCGCCGGGAACATGGTGCTTTTCCAGGCACATCTAAGCGCCTCCATCTCAAATCTGGAATGTTTAACACACACACGTCGTTCTCCAATTGACCCGTAGACGTGTTTTGGCCTCCAAAAAGAAGCAGCTTTGGACCGATCGTGTTCGTACTGTGGCCTCGCCGTGGGCATGGAAGTGACCCGAGTAACCGAGGTTTTGTCCACTTGATAGAGTAGAGGGTATCACCTCCTCCATGTATATCTGTAGTAATTTGCAGCTTGTGTACGTCAAGGAGACAATTTGACTGCCGAATCTGTCGTCATGATCAAACGCATAAAGTAAGTTGGTTTTTGACCTGCACTTCCATGATCCATGCGTGCACTTACTTGACGTCCCCTGTAAATGAACACTTCGCATTCTGAGACTCTTTGGTTATGAAAACAAGCATCAGGAAAAGAAGAAGAAGAGAAGGTTATTACAACTGTGATCAAGAATTCACGTACCGATGAACATCGTGTAGCGATCGGCCTGTTGGTATCAAGGAACTGCACGATGGTGTTGACCATCGAAAATCTGTAGATGAAAGACATGGTATGGCAAATGTCCGAGTGAGTGAGCGAAAAATAGCGTCTCCGTCAGCTTCCACACCTACCAGTACATCCCTCAATATGCAAAAGGAATACATCCATCTTCAAAATAGGCGACACTCCCATACTGCCTCCCGTAATCAGTATCAAATCAGATGAAAGTAAAGTCGCAGCGTGCCCGCATCGTGGCGGAGGTGCTTGTACCGTCACATTCGTTTGAACCCAAACTGCACGGGGAGTATTCAAGCTACTAGCAGCCACTTGTTGAATGCAAAGCAGATGAAGATCACCAAACGCCTCAAACGGAATTCCTTCGGACTGTCCACCAAAGAAAATGATTCGCCGGACGTTCACATGCATCTCCTCTTCGTTCTTCTCATCACTTTTAACTCCATTATACACATGACTTGTTCCCATAGATCAACTTGCGTGTACAGAATGCATTGGTCAAGCAAGTCATGGAATAATTTCGCCTTGGACACGGCCCTTGTCCCGTTGGCCGTATTTCCACTTTCCCATCAAAATCTGCCGTGACGACTGCACAAATGGCAACTTTTGACGATGACCTTCGGCCTCCGTTACGTTTTGGTCTTCACCTATCGTCGCATCTACGAGGTTTTGCTTGTAAAACACTGAACCAGTAGTGACCTCCACTGCGGATTAGAAACGTTCCCGTTATGTCAGACTCGTACACGTAATTATCGGATTTCAGAGCACGCAATGACGACGATGTCATATCACCTCGACAAGCTTGCCAACACAAATCCTTTAAGCTGTTAAATGCCACGTACAATTGTCTCCAAGTTGCTGGAACTGCCGCCTGCATGCGATAGGATGCCACCGTTGGGTACAAATACGTCATCACGCATTCACGCTTGCATCGCTGCTCGATGAGCGCTTTGAGAGTCTCTAGCAATGGGCGACACGTCATAGACAACACCATCAGCATCTTTACATCCAGCAAACGCTCTAAAATCTGTAAAACCTCCACCGAGACGTCCATTAACGATATTATAGCCATGGTAAGATTCATGTGACAAGTTCGTGTAAATTGGTTTGTTGGAAAGGGAAGACTATTAATTTTCATAGTTGCTAAATGACTTTGCCAAAAGCCTTTCTTTGGGAACGAATCCTACATCTTCATGCTGCGTCTCTCCACACGTAACGTCTCTAGCAACAACCTCGGTTGGCAGGAGGATTCGAGTTGCCAAAGCCACCAGGGCCTGGTGAGCCAGTCATGCCCACCTTAATGCCATGTGCCTGCAACACCCCCATATCATCATCAGCTACGTGTTACAAAGAACTAGAACAAGAGCAAACACACAAACCTCGTTCGTGACGTCGCAAATACCCGACTGAATGTTCGAGTAAATCTTTGATGCAGTTTTGACAAAAGCCTGAGAAAGTCCACAACAACGAATGAGTCAGTTCACAAATACGACTGTGAAAGAGGTGAAGGCTAACAGCACGTACTTCTTCCACGTTAGCAGCAGTTTTAGCCGACGTTTCAAGAAAAATAAGTCCATTTTCCTTGGCAAACTGTTCGCCTTCTTTAAAACTCACAGCACGACGGTGTTCCAGATCACTCTTGTTTCCAATAAGCATAATCGCCATGTTTGAATTGGAATTCTGACGTGCCTCCTCCAACCATCTCGTCAAGTGGTTAAACGTCTCTCGTCGAGTAATGTCATACACCAGCAACGCTCCAGCAGCTCCACGATAATACGAGCGTGTAATTGAACGAAACGACTCTTGTCCAGCCTACACAAACACACACACACAGTAAAACACTAAATCCCGTTCTCCTCACATCCAGAACAGCATATCAATTTCCATCCTATCTTTGCCACACATACTGTATCCCATATCTGAAGCTTAATTTGCTTATTATCAATGTTAATCATACGTGCACCAAACTCGACACCAATCGTAAGATCATGTACAGGTTGAAAGCGTTTGTCCGTAAATTGCAATAAGAGACATGACTTGCCAACACCTGTGAAATAGAATAAAAATAAAATCAATCATAACATTCAGAATGGTTCAGGACACTAGAAATGGTGGTATCGAATAGAAATGATTGTATCGAATAGAAATGGTACAAATCAAAACACTCTCCACGTACCAGTGTCACCGATGATGATGTACTTAAACAAATAAGCGTATGACATACTGCTGTATAACTGTAGAAATTCAGAATACATATAAACGATTAAAACTCCTGCTCATGTGATTAATTGTAACCCCGCAATATTTTAATGCAATCGATATGAGGACTTTTCTCATCTTAACTATGCCATCACACATGAATGTGCATACCACTTCTCTCTTTTCTCTCGTTTACGCTATAGACGATACTATATGCAAAAAGGTGGAACGAAGTCTCAAAGCTCAGTTCTTGGAAAGTTGCGTATTGTATGGAATTGTAGAAGGAAAAAAAGAAGAAACAATAACTTGATATATGTATGGAATCACTGGATTCTGACTGGATAGTACAGTGAGAACTAGTACCCTGTGTATAGTGATATGTAGCAATGAGTGCCATGATAAAACGATATCATTCATGTGTACCACATGATATCAGTTGTGTGCTCGACACACCAGTACTCGTATAAAATGAGAATTATCACATCCACAACAAAATTGGACGAGGTAAGGGCAGTGTACCGCTGGCGTATCAGACCTGCAGCGCACGCTTCTTGAACGGTGCCGATGGTGACTAATGCGAAAAAACATGGACGAAAAAAGTGTATTTGATCAGGTATTTGAGCCTTAGAGTATTCCTGCCTTTGCAGATGATGATACTATATTCATTCGATAAGCAGTGTATGTACTATGCCAAGTGTACATTGCACTGGCTACTCGTCTTGAGCAAGCTCTACTTTAGTTGTGGTTCCGCACAGCTCCCAAATGATCGTTTAAAGTAGAACGTGATCGACAAAATAAATACAAAATATGTTGTTGACGTCGTGGGTGGCGCAGATAGAAGACAGCATCTGGTCATTATTAGTTTGTACACAATTCCGGACACGGCATTATTTGCTACCTCAACGTTTTTGCGTACATGGAATTATCGACGTGCGTACCGTCCTCAGGAAGTACATACGCGTACGCCTACTACACGATCGGCAAGCTGCCTGCTGTCATCGCTGCGTGGCTGCTGACTCTCGAGTATGCCGTGTCAGGTGCAGGCGTGGCGCGTAGTTGGGGAGATAAGGTTGAGGAATGGCTGATGGTCGAGTACCCTGACAAGAGCTTTCGTTGGCTGAACCTGCCATTTGCTAATCTTAGTGGTGGACTTATCCAATTCCTAAGCATGGTAGTGCTGCTGATGGGCGTGCGATCTGGCAAGGTCTTCGTACACACCGTCACTGAAATCAAGATGAGTGTCGTGGTGTTTATTATCATTGCTGGGTTTGCTGCCATGAATCCTGACAATCTGTCACCCTTCATTCCCAAAAGTACCGAGCTAAATGGTATGATGGCCTTTGGGACGCAAGGCATTATCACCGGCGCTTCACACGCGTTGTTTGGATACGCCGGTTTCGATGAGGTTTGCTGCCTCGCCGGCGAGACCAAGAACCCTAAGAAGAACATGCCAATTGCTATCATGGCTGTCGTACTATGCACAACGGTGCTGAGCGCATTGTGCTCTCTTGTGCTGGCCGGTATGGTCGCTTTCCTTGAGGCAGCCAGCTCCGGTGACGGATTTGAAGGCCATGGCTGGAAATGGGCCGGCACTGTAGTGCGTCTTGGTGAGGTGGTCACCATGCCTGTAGTGGCACCCATTGGCTTCCTGGCTCAGTCTTGCTTGAATTACGCACTTGCTTGCCGGGCTTCTGCCGCGCATCTTAGCTGAAGTAAACTATAAGGGCAACTTGTTCAAGAACACACGCTTATGACGGGTCTGTTCTTCACGGTGGTTGCTATCGTGGTGCCCTTCGACACTCTGTGGGTATTGTGAACTTGGTGTTATGATGTCGTTCATCGTTTCCAACGTGTTAGCGCGTATGAAGCCTCCGTCACCAACGTGGCCGCCATTCTCGTCGTCGCACGGGTTGTGACTGCTGCGTGTGCAGCCTTCCAGTACCAGGAGAAATACAAGAACAAATCATTCCTAGCGTGCCTTATCTTTGCTTTCGTCTTTTTTGTGGTCACTGTGGGAATCCCAGTGGCGCTCTTTGTCAAGTGCCCGCAAACTGCCAAATATACCGGGTCTGTTCGCTGCTCCGCTCGTGCCGTTCATTTCGATGACGTGTATCCTCGCCGACTGGTTTATGATTGCACAAATCAGCTGCCTGCACTGGGTCTTAGTGTTGCTTGGATGGGTGCCGGAGCGCTCTCGTACTTTGTGTACGGCTTCTTTCATGCAGAGTCACGCAACACCTGGAGCCGGGTACTGGGTCAGAACCTACCTACGCATGGAGACAACCTCTCGTCCAAGTTCACGACGCATGAGCTAAAGCTGCTCGCCGTTTAGATGCATGGAGTATTAAGTTACACAATAATGTATCATGCGTCTGAGTCATATCATTTCCGTGCGAAACTCGATCTGCTACCAAAGTTCAAGCTTGACTGTCATTTTGGCAGAACGGCAATAAAGAGGAACAAAGGTAGAGTGACATCGCCTGCAAATGGACGTCGACGGTTGGTGGATCATTAGGTAAACCACGCCTTGATTTTGCGGGTCGATCATTGGGAAAATGCAGAGCAGAACGGTTTCTCTAAGCTTTGGGGCCTTTGTAGTTGGCCAGCAGTATCTTGTTACCCCGAAGGATCGTTACCCCGCTTGAGCACTGGCCAGACATCGTTAGTCTTATCATGGATAATCGCTCTTCACTTGACCCGGTTTGCCCAGTGTAAGTTTTCTGACATCACATTGAAATAATCTGCAACCTCATTATTCACGGCCTTGATGTTCGTGAACAGTTTCATACATTTCGAGAGACGGCAAAAGACAACGTATCATATTTCTAGAATCGACGATGCTATCTACTTGGTTCTGCTTGCGGAAGGAGTGAAAAGCACTTCACTTAGTATCTGTATGTTTGCAAATGTCTTTTATCTGTCTTGATATTGCATTAATGGGTCAGTCACCCAGCATCGTAATCTGAGCTTCAACATGGTAAGCCAATGAGACACTGCGAGTAGTGGGTACGGCATATCCTGAATGCGTGTTACGCTTTATGGTGGCCTCACTTTAACTCTTATCCTTCACTACAGATTCTAAGCCAGCTCTGAGATAGGATATTACCAGCATTTTTTCTCTATTGCATTTTCAGTAAGTCAACTCTGGTTGTTGCTGTTAGTTTTCAATGTGTAACACGATATCTCAACTAGAACCAATGATGATGGCATATTCTTGTTGTCAAAAATTGATTCTGTTGCAGCCAAAGCAGCGACGTGTTGAGTCGCGCCAAAAGGAGACGAATTGAGACTTGCGTTGTGGTCATCATTGGACGCCGTCAAGCTGAGAACGTCCTTAAGATTAATTGTTACATTGCCACTTACAAAATGCAACACAAATGAAAAGATTGATTATGGTACTTTGTCTGCACTTCGTGCTGCATCTAAGCTTCATACAGACAAGAGCCTTCAGCAATGCGCTTCACGAAAGCAATATAGAAGAAAGACGCAAAGGAGTTGCAAAATTGAAACATAAAAACTTTAATGATCAAGTAGCTTTCGTACTCAGCGTCCGTACGGTGGTTTTCGAGGTCATTCAAGTAGCGTGCCACATTCCGGTAAGCCATATTCAGCACCAAAATCTGAATGGCGTTTGCCACAGTCACACCAAATGTCAGCGTAGTCCGGTACTCTGGAACAATATGATGATCTCCCGAATCATCAGTGCTGTTGATCCAGTGCTTGAGGACAAACAAACCAAAAAGAGCAATAACCACAATTCCGACCATTAACGTGACAATAAACACGGAGATGACGAACGCACGGCGGCGTTTTGCCTTACTTTCGAATGTCACTTCCTCTGTATCAGTCACCGGGTGGTAGCTTTTAGTACCTCGAAATTAAGGGCGGTAACTCCACCATATCAAATGATAGGTTACTAGGAAAACTCACGCGTCGAGATCGTAGTCATTTACGTGGAAATGGCGTGATTTAGTACTTGAACGCACACGTTTACAATACTTTAGTGAAAAAAGTGTTCGTAAAGGTGATATCTCATTATCAATATATACACCCATTACAATCCGTATGTGCAATAAGACTAAACACAGGTCTCATTGTGTACCTTGCATCAATGATGCATCGCAGTCAACCTGTGTTTGCTAACAGCTTGGAGCTGCCTTGACCTAACGAAACAATACCAGTTGCCCAACGAGATACAAATGTCGTCAATTGCGAATTTCGTGATCGTACAGTAACGATAAAGAGAAAAGTAGCTCATCACGCGTAGTATTGTGGTTGGAAGTAAAGTGCTTGTTGCTGTGCATCTTTTGTATCATAGTGCATCGGACTTTCCCATAAAGCATCTTGACCTAGTGTCGGTACTTGTCGGATACTTTCATTCGTGTCACAAGCAAACACTCTTCTTTCCCACAAACTGCCTTTACTACTGGGACGCTCACTGATCTGTTGTTCTTCAGAAAACTGCTGATTATCCTGGCAAGACGACGGAGCTTTGTTTTCTATTTGTTGCTGTTGTTGTTGTTTCGTCTCGTAAAAGGCTTCAGATGACGTTGAAAAGTCAAAAGCATTAAAGCTCATGGGCACCTCTACGTCAAGCTGATTGTCCATTGGAACCTGTGTGTGCTGTTGCTGTTGTCGTTGTTTTTGGCACCACTTGGCTGGAATCTTACGGGCACGCTCATCCTCGACGTTCAACGTTCCAGCATGCATATCACACATTACACTTGGCTGCTGACTCTGACACAATTGACGATGACAAGCGCGATATTTCTCAATATCAATCGCCTTTTCATCAGGTTTTGGACCGTCGGATGAGAAAAAGCGAAACATTGAAAAGGTTTGTGGCGTGTGATCAAATGGAATTTGAACAGGAAAAAGCCGATACACAAAAAACTCAAGAGACGGGAGAAGAAAAAGAGAAAGACTAGTTGATAACCGTGATCCTTGATGTTCTTAGAGCGCAATTCTCTTGCGTTGTAGAAAAAGCCCAAATTAGTTTTTCGTGCCGGGTGTCACATTCGAGACAATCGCAAATTTTGCACTAGGCTGATAAAGGAGAAACAGTCTTCTTAAGCACTACAGATTAATATTGAACACGTTAAGGCAAATTTACGCACACCACCGCCGTTTCAACGCGACAAAATGCATCCAGACGCTTGAAGACTTGATTCAATCTGATGAAGATGTTTATAGTTTTGACTGTTTAGTATTGTGTACTCATGATGTTTGGAAGTAAAAATAAACAACGACGACGTTGAGGAATCAGAGAAAGGGGTTGTCCAGCTGCTCCCGTTTGATGGACGAAATTTTGAAGGCTGGAGCATTTGAAGACTAAAAGGTGTCAACGGTTTGAGATTGATACTTGTCTTACTTATTTAGGAACTTGCGCTCGATCCTCGGAAACTACGATTCACATTCTTGAACGCTGGATTTTGTTCAGATCTCAAATCGATACAGACGCAGCTTTGTCAACGACATCAGAAAAAAACTATTGCAGCAGCATAGCAGATAACGCTCTGAACACAGTCAACACCACCTTACGTTGGTATGTCGAGCGTGGCAGAGGCGTTATCAAAGAAGCATCTCTTCGATCTCAATGTCAGCAAGCCGCAGGCCCGAATCGGCCACCAAGTCGACATAAACGACAAGCAGTGTATTGTGGCCGGAGGCCATCGCATCACACGCAAGGGATCTGCTGCGCGTCGAAGCCAGAAACAACCTATTGTTCGCAATCTGTTCACGAACGTCTGCTCGGGAGTTGGGCTCAGTGAACACCAAAAGAAGCAAACATTGATCAAACAGCCATTGGACATGTCACAGATGAAGCCAAAAGCGACAGCAACTTCAAGTAGAACTATCGAGCTATGTAAGAGCATCTTGCCTCCATTATCTCCTAATGATGCCGACAAGAAGTGTTTAGTGCTTGACCTCGACGAAACGCTGGTTCACTCATCGTTCAAACCAACTATGAACCCCTCCCTACCTTGTAATTCCTGTCTACACTAATGGCATTACTCGTCGAGTGTATGTATGCAAGCGTCCAGGAGCTGAGGAATTTCTCATTAAAATGGCAAAATACTACGAGATTGTAGTGTACACTGCTAGTTTTAGCAAATACGCAGACCCGCTACTTGACAAGCTAGACCCAAAAGGTGTCATTCGCTATCGTCTCTATCGCGAACATTGCGTGCAGTTTGAAAACAGTTGCGTAAAGGATTTGTCTTTATTGAATCGTGATATTTCACAGACAATTATCATTGATAACGCGCCAATATCCTACGTCTTTCACCCTCACAATGCTATCGGGTGTTCCAGCTTTATTGACAACCTGAGTGATTGCGAGTTAGAGTCTATTTCACGATTTCTCATCAAGTTTCACGATGTTAAGGATGTGCGTGAATACTTGCACATTTGGGACGCTAAATATTAACGGCGATATTTTGAATTCGAATGGGAACAATTTCAAAAGACTTATTATAAAGTGATAAAGAATGCACAATATCTAAACTAATACAGAAAACTCTATTATAACGTGATGAAAAATACACGATATCTAAATGGTAATTTTGCTAAGTTTCGTAAACTTTAAAATAAACGCTGAAGAACTCATCACTGTATCGTTAGAGATCCCTATTTTCCACTTTTTTGCTATTCTGAAAAAAGCAAATCTTATAGCGTTAAGTAGTCAAAGCAAATCTTCCAAGTGTAGACAATGGCTTCAAATTTTGCAGAGCGCTAATCGAATTCACAAAAGACCTCTTCCAGTCCATTCAGCTGTATTCAAGGCACCAACTGTAGGAACGCATAAGCCCAATGATGCGGGAGATGCATTGCGCTGACCAAGTAACCTGTTGAAGTTTAGAGAGACCGAGTTTGACGACGAGACAACGTAGTGCCGTTGCGTTGCATCAGGTTTCGCGCATTCGCTTTCTAAGCTTATGCTTGAGGCAAAAGAAGTGGATGCTCATTTGTAGGGGCTTGTCCGTGATCTCTTGTGGAGCAGAAATATCCACACCGTTGCATCTTCTGTCTGAATCTGAGGTGTCCATGCATTGTCGGTTTGGTCACATTTCCTGGCGATGGATAACAAGGCGTTGTTTGGGTATTTATACGGACGGATACACCTTGCAGAGGCATTTAAAGCGTTTTCTGGAAACGCACAAGCTTGAACGAGCTGTGCTGCTTCATACTCTCTGGCTGCTCAACGTACCCAAGAGCTCGATACAGATGCTGAGCAGCTTCCATGACTTCAATGGTGTCAAGACAAATCTCGTTAAAAGCACCACATGATATGGCAAAATCCTCAACGGCTCGCACCAAAGCCGAAGCCACACCACAGCGTCGAAATGCAGGAGCAACACATAGTCGACAGAGTTCTGCACTGTGCCTCTCTTCTTCATGGTTTACCTGATGACTTGATATCGTCAGAGGCTTCAAGCCAGCGCACCCCACGACCACGCCGCCTACTTCAGCTACCCAAAAGCCACTTGCTAGAATGCCAGCACTATTGGGTGTTTGAAAAGCTTGGTATACGTCAAACATGTCTCCACTAGGGCCACGAAGACGATTCGCAACGAACTGACACACAGCACGTGATCTCTTCGGCAAATCAAGGTGAGTACTTTCAAAGAGTGAGCGCACAGTAACCAAGTCATCGCGCTGAAATGATCGAATGATTACCGTTTCGGACAACCCCTCCCGTTGTGGCGTAACGCATCCCGTCAGGAGGTATCTATACTGTTGTACGCGGGGCACAAAACAACTGGTCCACTCTAACCCGTCCTTATCTTGGTTCTTGCAATTACCTGCAAGGTAGATCGCGTAATGGGCGTTGCACATCGTCCAATCGGCATACTCATCAAAAGGTTCCAACAATGCTAACCTGTGTTTCTCCTCCGCAGTCGTGCAAGCCGCAAACACTCCGTTCATGTCAAGAATGCAGCATTTTTTCCAATATGCACATGCTAATAGACGACGGCAGTGATCAGCTGCTGTCTGGTATCCTTGCACACCACGAAGCGTACATCCTTTCACGGCAAAGTATCGCTGAAGTGTCGAGCTAAAAGCATCAGACTGTCGCTTAGGTCGCGTGCTTGCAGAGACTGCTTTCTCGCTGTCGTCATCCTCGCTTGTTTGAAGTCTGATCGGGTCATACAGCGCAATGGAGCCGCTTGAAAAAGCCTCACCAAGCCACTGAAGCAGCATTGTACCCTTTTCTGGTGCCAAATACGACTGCCATACAACATATTAAGGCAAAGTCGTTTTTTTGCGATTGACCACAACTTTGCCATTACGTACCAGAAGACACTCACCAAGCATCAACGTCGGCAGACTTCGGTCGGCACCAGCAGCATTCAGCGCAGCATTCAACCTTTGGATATCTCCCAGATCGCAAGCAATGAGCGAATACGAACCAGACGGCACTCGACATTGCCATGCTATCTCGCAATCAGCAGAAGAAGATGTAACAATTAAGTTGTCCATATCTTTCGGGAATAGACCTGCTTGTACGTCTGAGTCGTTCAACAGCTTTGTCTTAGCACTCACAATAGCGTCACAGTCAACCTCTGTGAAGTAGAGGGTTCCTAAAAATTTCCGCTGGTCTACTAGACGAAAGAATAGCGTGTCAAAGCCAGCTCCCAACGATACGATGTTCACTCGAGGCGATGCTACATCTACAGTCATCAACACCATCCAAACGTCATCCAAACCGTAGTGTAAACAACTGACCATGCTGAAACTGCCTACACTGCGAAAGAAAAAGATC